GGCCAGGGCTCCCCTTCCTGCCAGGGGCCTTTTCTGAGCCGCAGCAGGGGGTGAGCCCGCGATAAATATGGCAGCAATAAATGCGGTGTCCAAGGGGAGGCAGGGCAAGCCAGTGTATGATTTTAGAAGAGGCTGATGTGTTAAAAATAGCCCTTATAATATCTAGATGTAAGGCCCAGAGGGTCAAAACGAGAGGTCCTTCAGATAAGAAAGCCCTCTATCGAAATGAAGTAGTTTTGCTCAGTGAAGAATGACCCACTGAAATCAGAACTCAGAAAGATCTGTAAGGCCCAGGGAAGCGAGGAGGTCTGTAATTATTCCCCGCAGTACTGGGGAAGGGGTTTCTGTCCAGACCAATTTTAAACATCCTGAGAAATACACGCTCGGGCGCTCCCTGGGGAGGGTTCAGTAACATTTCACAGTCTAATGGCTCTCACGAGTGGGATAAGTTTTTCAACTTTAAGTCTACATTTTTTGCATTGCTTAATTTCATCCCATTATTTCTGATGAAGCACTTTGTGGAAGGCACACAATTGCTCCCCAGCCTGGATTTTCATGTTTTAATGATGGTTAATTATTCCAGGAGAAACTTTTATTTTTACTTTTTATCCGTGGCGCTTTTGCACTGGATCCTTTATTCTGAAGTTTAATTAGCGCATTTCAGAACTAAATATCTAAATTAAATCCTTGCCGAGCGAGCTCCGCTCGAGGATTTATGATAGTTGTGCACAGCCTTTATTGTACCTGCCAAGGCAGGCAACTGATTTATTGATGGATGGGTTTATTTGGGCCAGGAGCGAGCCAGTAGGTACCACGAGGGCTGGTGCTGCTGCCCTTCCTCCCCCCGCCGCAGTGAGGAAGAGGAGGCATGAAGGTGCTGATGATGAGGGGTGGAAAGGGGCAGCCTCTGGCTCCTGCAGACCCCGGTGAGGCTACGGGACAGGCTAATGGTGGGTTTGGGCCACGGCCGTGCTGGAAGAGCCGTGTCTCCATCCCCACCATCTGCTGGGATCCACGGTTGCGTTTTGGGCTATTAGAGAGATTGGGGCTGGCTGCAAACATCAGATGTAGGCACAGGTTTGGCTCCCGGCCACCCCCTTCCCTGCTGCCTCGAACGCCAAGATTTTGATTCAAGCTCATCTGCAAATGCTAAAAAAGCTTCAGCTTCGCAACGGAGTCCACCCCAGCGGAGCTCATCACAAAATGAGACCTTCAGGGATGGGGGGGGAAAGAAAAAACCAAACCCCCAAACCAACCCCAAACTGAGAACTCCTTTTAATTACGTTATCTCAACAAACTAAAGCTACAGACAAATGCGATTACACCCACAAAAATCTGCTCGCTCCCAACCGAGAGTCCAAACACTTGTGGCTTAGCCGGGGCCAGAAGACCCATGTGCGAGAGAAAAGCACCTCCTGTTCATGCCATTGAGCAGACTGGCTTTACTCTTATTATTTAGTGTGCCAGAGCTGCTCTGTCTATGTAATAAAAATGGGTAAGGTTTCAGCCCTTCCCCAGCCCACAAAAATAAGATGACTCCGCGGAGGCACCGTGGGGCAAACAGCCCCAGAGCAAACCCAGAAAACTCACAATGAATTTCAGCAGGGGCGGGGGGGTTGGGTTTTGGGGTTGGTTGGGTGTTTCTTTTTTTTTTTTTTTCATTTTGTTTTGCTCTTAGAAAGATAGCCCTGTAATTTAGTGACTCATACGCTCTACATCCTTTGTTGCTTTTCATTTTCAACATCTTTAAGCTGTTTGTGGAGAACGCGCTTATTTTTAGACTTCCCATCAGTGAGAGACATTTTAGCTGGTTCAGAGGGGAAAAGCTCCATTGAGACTTTTGTGTCTGGGGTGTTAATAGGCAAATTTCCTGACGGGGAGATATTTTATTCCTCTTTTTGGGGAGGGGCGAGGGGTCTTGGTTTTGTTGTGGTTTTTTTTATTTTGTTTTTTACTTTGACATCTCACTTGGGATCTGGGCAGTGATTTTCAGGCACACAGAGGACTGTCCCCTGTGCCATAAGTGACCTGGCAGAGGGAAGGAGGAGGAGGATAGGAGATAGGTGCAAGGAAAAGCAGACACATGTTGAGGCACAAAGAGCAAACAGGGGCCCCGGGATCACTAATCATCCTCCTCCCTCTTCATCAAACCTGCAAATCTCAAGCCATGCCACAGAAAGCCTCTGTACCATGGAGGCTTTCAGCAGGTAGGACAAAGGGGGAGAGCATCCCACATCTGAGCATCAACCCACATTTCCCCATGCTGGGGCAAAGAACATGAGGAATACTTTATGTACCTTGGCAAATTCAGTTAATTTTTAAGAAGCAATGTTTTTGTTTGGAAAAATAAAGGAAATGTTTCATTTTTTTTTCCCCCCAGAAAATTGACACTGCAAAACAGAAAACGTTTTATGAGTCAGTTAATAGGTTTGGGGTTGGGTCGAGTTTACAAGGGCTGACACCTCCTTTCAGTTTGCAGCTCAAAATCTTTTTGGAGAACTTTAAAAACTAAAGGAAATTTCAAAATGAAGATTGGCTCCACAGCCCTCGAAGCAAGGCATTTCATAAAAAGAAAAAAAAAAAAAACCAATCCTGTCTGCTTTTTTTTTCTTCTTTTTTTTAGTTTTAATTAAGTCAATCAACAACGGAAAGGCCTCCAAATGAAAACCACACAGGCACCAAACATCTCTGGACCTCCAGATGTACATTCCTCCACCTTCCAATTGCAGAGCGGGCACTGCTGTTTGCTGGCAGCCCCAGATTCCTCAGGACAAACACCTTGCTCAGGAACAAGAGCAAAATACAGAGGGAAGGGACATGTCCTGCTCCTCCGCACACACAGGACAAGAGGTGGACCCAAACCATACGTGAAGATGCAGGTGGGAGCATTATAGACCCCATGTGGATCTCTCCAGGCACGTCCTACGGACTCTTTGCTTTGCTCTGCAGAGATATTTGGTCTTTCCCAGCACGTGCCACCCTGAAGCAGGCAGCAGGACAGGACGAGTCCCCATCCCCATGGTGTCCCCCTGGTGCCAGCTCGCTCCGCAGTGGCACACGCTGGGCCGGGCCACACCACGGTCCTGCGCCCGCTGCCAAGCCCAGAGCCAGCTCCTGCGCCCGGGAACAATAATGGCTCTTTGGCCAGCTGGAAGGAGCCTCTTCCAGGACACATTTGTAATTTTGCTGAAAGCCTCAGTCCTAATGGACAGCTGGAAATACTCCATGGCTCTCTGGCTGTCACCTCACCCAGGTGTCATGGACAGGTCCAAGATACTCAGTTTCTGTTTTGCAGTCTCCCACCATCATATGACCCAAGAGCAGGTTTGGAGGTTCGTGGCTCGTGTTTTACATCCTGACCATAGTTTTTTCTTTTCGGAGATGCATGACCCAAACCAGCACAACTACGAGCCCAGTGCAGAGCTCTCTGCTCTGCCCGTTATCAGGCCACAGCTTCATGTTTGCATGAAGCCAGGACTCAGCATCCTCTGGAGGAGCTGCCACCATCTCCCCATCGCATGTTTCCAGCAAGATACTTCACCCTCCCTTGTGCTACCAGCCTTTGCCGTTTCCCAGCACCCCTTAAACCCAAGGAAGTTTTTCCTCCTGCATCTAAAAACCCTACACGAGCAACAGGGCAACCACCAGCAACACCCTTGGGCAAACATGATGTGCCAACACAAGCACCAGCTGAACAAACCAATGAAGCAGACCCAGCAAACCCACGGTGGACACCTGCCCACGCCAGGCTGAGCTGAGGTCTCTGCAAAAGCAGCACCACAACACTTTGCTCCAACCCCGATGAGCCCCGACTCGTCGGTCAGTGGCTCGGGAGCAGCACCTCCGAGAGGAGCTGGCTCGGGGAACGGGCTGTCACACAGCACGAGGATAAACGTGCACAGGCTGGAGGGTGGACGGTGTCAATAGGATTAGTTGGTTCTATTATTTATCATGGCACATGCCCCGGCACTCGATCCACAGATCTGAGCCATCAGCTGTGAACACCTGTCAAGGAGTTGAGTAATTTTCCAGTTTCTGGGTAGAATAACTGGAAACAATAAGGCTGATTTAATCAGTCAGTACTTAGCTCCAGAAACATAATGGCTTAAAAGAAAATCTCCCCATATTTTTTTTAAATGAATGCTTTTCTGCATTACAGTTAACCCAGAAAAAACCTCCTTAGTAGATGTATTGCAGTACAGTAACAAGGCAGGTATTAGCCAAACGCATGGTGGAAAGGAGATAAACAATACACTGTGTCCTCCAGCTTGTCCAAGGGAGACAAATTCCCCATTTAGAAAACCCAATACAAATGTAATTCTCTTATAACAAGAGCGTCCACTGTATATTGTTTCTCTGAGGAAAAAAAAAAAGTAACCGATTTTGAAGTCCTCCAGTGCCATCAAGAACATATTTTTTTTCCCCCAAAGTATCTCAAAAGTAGCAAAAAAATGAAAAAAAATTAATGACTGCTAACAGCTGAAACAGATGGTCGGCTGTGAATCCCCACAGCCTCACGCAACTGTGAGTCAAGCCATTTTTCAAAATGGTGAAGAAAAAAAAAATAATTAAAAAAAAAATTCAATTTCCAAGACTACCAGGCTTCCAAAAACCTATTTGGACATCCCAGCTGAGAGCCAATAAAAAAAGCAGGGTTTGGCTGGTTTAGACCCATGGCAGCCTCAAACCCAGAGTGCCCCTTGTCCATCATGTGCACGTAGATGGTCTGGATGCACTGGCTTTCAACGCGGTCCCACAAGATGTTTCCTCAGGATGAGGTTTTACTCCCGAATTTTAACTAAGGCTCCATTGCACTATCAGATTCCCAACGCAGTCACCTGCTGCCGGTTGCAAGCACGGTCCCCACTGCCCACCCTTGGGACCCCTCCACATCCCTCCCACCACATCCTCCCGGTGAACTGATTGCCCTCAGCAAGCAATGTCCCTCTGTGCCAGCTCGCCCCTTGCAAGGAACCATTTGAGAAGAAAAAGACACTTGCCAGGATGGAAACTCTGGTTGCCTGCTTCTCTGCTGCGGCTCCTCCTTCTCCCCAGGAGACTCATCCCCTCGGTCACCTTCATGCTTGGGCTGCCCCTCTCCACGCTCTTCGATCAGCCCCATCAGGCAGATGAGATGGCAGGTTCTGGGCGACGTGCGATCTCATCATGGGGACATCAAAGCCGGCAGTGTGACTCTGCGAGGAACGGGCAGAAACTTAACCGCACGCACAGCACCACTTTATCATTTATTTAAGCTCGATCTTTCAATAATTCATGCCAGCCTTTCACTGTGTAGCAGGACAACAATGGCAGGAGCGCAGCGGCGGATAACCACATCTGGAACAGATGTTCAGTTCTAAATAAAAGCTGGTTTTGCAGAGAATGTTAAATGCCATGGGAATAGTGTGCGCTGGGACGCAGCCCTGCTCCTTCCAGGGGGCAACAGCGATTTGCTCATATGTTTTGCAAGGCAGAGTTGGCAGAGAGCAGAGGAAACAGCCAGGGCTGGCTCAGCCGCAGCCCAGTAGTCCCGGGAGCACGGACCCGCAGCGTCCACAGGCGTCTCCTCCTCGGAAGCGCTGGGCAGATGCCGGCGCGGTGCCTCCGAGCGTGAGCACACGATGCCATGAGTCACCTGGCTATCAAAGGAAGGTCCATGCCCGGTCCCACCAGCGGCCAGCTCTGGAGCACGTTAGCACTGGGTCCCTGCATGCAGTCAAGAGTGTGCCCACCTCCCTCCCATGGAGATATTCTGCTGTTGCTAGGAGAGAGCTGGGTCCAGCTGGTGCCCCCGTGCCACAGGTGTCCGGGTGCAAGCACCCTTGTGTACAAGGAGGAGACAGGGCAGCCCTGGCTCTTCCATGCTCTTTCCAAGAGCCACCAGGTACCTCTCCAGGACAGTCACTTGTGCTGGTTACACCCAACCTCCAAGACCTCAGGCAGGGTGTCCCTTTCAAAGAGCTTCTCTTCCCCATTTGTGGCACACAAGACCTCTAAGTCTGGCCAGCACCTCCTGCATCATGTCACTAAGCTCCTGTCCATCGCCACACGCTGCCTGCTGCAGCATTGCCATTCAGAAGACATCTGCAAAGCTCATTCCTCACCACCATGGACATGCCTCTCCACAGCTCCCCCTTCTCTTCTGCATCCAGGACAAGTTAACACCTTTGACCCTTCACGGCTTGTACCTGGTTGACCTACCATCTCCAATTCCCATTGGGACATCAACCATGCCTTCAGCCATCCAGCAATGTCAGCCACTATCGGGCTCTCATTACACTTTGAACAAACACTTTATTCCTGCTCTTGTGCCCAGGCAAGTGCCCCAGAACAATCCACATATGCATCTTGTTATCCTTCCTGAAACACCTCTAGAGCAGCCCTGAGCCTGCTGGTGCCCTGAGACGTACCCTCCTCGTGCCAGCTGCCAACACCTCTCTCTTTTCCCCTGCCCATCTGTCACTAGCCGTCTGGCCTCCCTCTCCTTCTATATGGTTTTTAAGCACTTTGAAGCAAGAACTTATTTGCCATTTTATCTGCAATTGCACAGCACCTAATGCACTTGAGGCCTGGCCTCCAAGGTGTATTATTATCATTATTATTACTACTACCACCACTGTTATTACTGACTCTGAGGCTCCACTTGGGGTCTTAATATAATCTGTGCAATTTTTTTGGACTCCCTCACTTATCTCTGTGTTTTGCAGCACCTTCTCTGATAGCCAGACTCTACTCTTTGTCCGGATAATGCAAATTTACAGATGGCTTTCACTGCAAATTTTCTTGCTAATAGTGTCTTACTCTTGTTCTTAAATGTGAACCTTGCACTTTACCCTGCTAGCCAACCACTTAATGTCAGTAGGAAATTGTCTTTTTTCTTTTCCTGATCTTCCAGATTGATTGGATAATGAAATAAGTAATGACATTAGAAGCCCATTAATCAGTAGTGAGTAGTGAATAACACAGAGTGCAAGACTGTCAACTGCTCCTGAAGGACAAGCTAAGGGGGACTGTGGGGAAACGGTGAAACCACTGAAAATCTAGTCCCCTGGTCTGCACATCTTTTTTTTTTTTTTTCCTCCTTAAAGTGGATGACAATCAATTCTGGCAGGATTCTTGGCATGGGGTACCCAGACTTATGCCAGGTAGTCTGCTGTCCAGATCAGACCCCAGTACTCAGGAGATCCCTGTTACATTTATGGTCCTGCTGAATTTCACAAGTAACAAGAACTCACTTTCCACAATTTCTTCCACTCCCTGGTACAGGACATGAAAAAAGAGGGAGGGATCCAGGAGGCCCCCTCTCTACAATGGCATTAATGGTGGTGGTAGGACACAGCTCACACCTCCAGCAGGACTTTCCCCAGTGAGCCTGTTCTGACTGGAGCTATGTTTCCCCAGAAGCATCCCCGGGAGGAGAGGGCACGTTGTGTTGGAACAAGCGCTCGCAGTTGTCATGCCAGCGGGTGTGTAACAGGAGATGCTGAAGCAGATCTCAGAAATAAATGTCTGAGCAAAGTCACCCCTCGGAGAGAGCAGCCAGCAGGGTCACAGTCAAGAGCGCAGGCATCTCTATTAGTGCAGAGGCTGATTTATTAGTCTCGCTGTGTATCTACACCCACAGAAAATGTGGTACCCTTGGGGCCCAGTGTCTTCTATCTACATTTATAAATGTCTCTCCCAAGGGACTGCTCAGCTGTGTGTAGCACAGCCGATGACAGCTTCCCTCCATCTTTATGCAAGGCACCAAGAGGCATAAGAGAGGGATCTTGGGAAGAGAGCCATCCTGGTTAAACGCCATCCTGAGCTGCTGGGGACCTTTCCCCACATGGAACCCCAAGTGCTCACTCTGGGACAGAGGAGGATAAAGAAGACAACAGACAACAACCATGATTCCGTGAAACTTAAAAAAAAAAATAAATAAATGGTTGCCAACAAGATGATGAAAGTGAAATCCTTCTCAATCCCCTGACCAGGGCACCTCCTCCACATTCACCTCCAGCTCATCTCCCATTACCCCAATGAGGCTGGGAACTCCTCTCTGCCTTGGTGGCAGCTGCCTCTCTGAAAGGGTTAAGTGGGAAAGAGTTTTCAACCCATCCCCCTTGGCTGGCCAGGCACTGCAGTGCTCCTGGCCCCAACTTTACTTTCCTCTTTCGCTTCTCGCTCTCTCATGCCAAGCGTAAGGATCTGGCCCACTCCACAGCCCGCTCTGCCAGCACGAGCAGTGACTCACTCAACAGCTCTTCATCACAACACATTCTTTCAATGGGACTTCATTTTGGATGGCACTTGTCTTCAAAAATCTGATGCCGGAGAACAGCAAGAAATGCATAAACATGGGCACAAAGCAGTGGGGTTGCGTCAAAACTGGTGGGGTAGGACTAGTTTTCTTTTTACCTTCACCAGCAGATAACCAATTTTGCTAATAAGAGGAAAAACTCAGCTCAAAGGAAAAAGAAAGGTCCTCACATCATTTCTTCCATCAGGCTGACACCTCTTCATCTTGGGGAATTTAACATCTGTTACATAATTCAGAGAACATGTGGTTATTTTCCAGGCTTATTAATAGCTCAAACCCCAAGACTTAAAATGAAAATCAGCAGCTGCTCCAGACTTCACCTCTCAGAGAAGTAGTTGAGAGCAGGTACAATGACTGGCTGGGGGTCAGGGCTTTCAGTCGTTCCAACGCTCCTCATTACAAGCCATAAAGGACACAGCTTGGACTGCATCTCTGACGCTGAGACATCTGGATTTCCAGATTTTCCTCAGCACTTTTTTCCTTTAACATCTTTTTTTTCTTTCCAGTGGAGGCAGAGGAGAGGGGAGAGGATCACAGATATGAGAGTGGGCCGAAAGAGTGTAGATGGGAGGGGAGGAAGACTGTGCATCATCGTCCCCTTCATACACAAAGCGCTTTCATTCATAGGGTCTCAGTACCATCCAAGATGACTAATGTGGCTTACAGGCACTTGGATGTAAGGATTTCTTTTCTTAATGAATATGTTGCCCTCTAAGTTAGGGAACAGGCTGAAAAATGCATTTGGCACCTGGAGTAGTGAGAAGGCTGTTTGTAGCTTGGGCTGCTCTGTTCCTGGGGGGGATGGAAGTACATCGCCATGGGCATACATCTCCACTGGTAAATAGATGCCTCAAATGCTCCTGGATAATACTTCCAGGTAGGATTCAGGATGGGTGATGGCCTTGGCAATGGTGAGGCTGTGGTTGAGGCAAACACACATGTACATGGCTGTTCCCAAACGCTCAGCCTGTAGCTCGTATGTCTTATTGGGCAATGGTAGCCCCAGCCCTTGCCATCTCCAGCCCATCTAAGCATCAATGACAATAGAGGGTCGTGCAAATGATCTTCCCATTCTCTGTATCTTCTCAAGCAGAACCTGAGTTCAGCTTGATCCAATCTCAAATTCATGTGTGGCCTTAAGCCAATGAAGAAAAAGCAAATCTGACAAAAGATGGTGACTAAGGCAAAACACTTCATTTTCTGGCACTTAATAAAGGCCAAGAACATTTGACAAGAAAGTCTAAGTTCAGCAGACACCACTGGCTGCTGCAGGGAGGAGGTGGCTGTGATGCTCCTTGTTCGGCTTTGAGCTCCACTGGTCTCAGACACTCAGGTGAGAAGCAGGTGACTCATGCCCCGAAAGCACAGCTGGCCAGGTTCAGAACAGCAAAGTGCATGGCCTAAACATCAGGCTATCAGAATTCAGGAGTTGGACTAGCTCCAGCTATATGAAACTCTTAAAAACTCACTGGGACAGACAGTAGAGCTCACACCAGGAAACAGTAAATTGTTATTTCTTATTATTATTTATATAGTGCAAAGTAGCAGCAGGAGAACTTAAGGGAAATCCACCCAAAGACATGATAGAAGCTTGGAGGCAACTCCACTAGGAGGAAAGTCCTGGGCTCAAGACCTTCTTTCAAACTGAGTAGAGTGATGCCTTCAGGCAACACATCCCACCTTCTGACTCACTGCTGCATCAAAGCCTGGTGTTCTTCCCTGACTCCAAAGACTGCAAATCACAATCTTTATGTGGTCAAGAACCACAAGATATCTACTAGGCCCCAGGAGAGCTGGGGGAAGGGGGCCATAGACAGGACCCACACTGCAGCCTGAGCTGGGTTTGGTTTGTGGCCAATTCAGGCATTTCCAGCAGACCCTGCTGCCTTGTTT